GTATATATATATATATATATTATATATTACATATTACTATATTATATATTAGTCTATCAATTAGTATATATATATATATATATATATAAAATTATGTATAATATAATACAGCTTGGAGCCAGTGCATTGACGAATGAAGAAGTGATACAATTAGTGAAACACAAGGATATAGCTGCGTATCAGTTGGAAAAAGCGGTAGGCGATATGGAGCGTGGTGTCGACATCAGGCGTCTCGTCGTAGGTAATGCCGGGAAATTCACCGAGGAGATGATCGATTTACCGTACAGACATTATGACTACAGCAAGGTATTTGGTGCTTGTTGCGAGAACGTGATCGGCTACGTGCCAGTGCCAGTTGGTATCGTTGGACCATTACTAATTGATGGTCAGTTATATCACGTTCCAATGGCGACGACGGAAGGTTGCTTGGTAGCGTCTACTAATCGCGGTAGTCGTGCGTTGATGAAGTGCGGCGTGACCACCCGAGTAACGGCGGACGGGATGACCCGAGCACCAGTGGTGCAATTCCCGGACATCGTGCGCGCGTGTGAGGCAATGTCATGGATAGAACAATCACAGAATTTCCAGGAATTGAAGAATAGCTTCGACCAGACCAGCCGCTTCGCTCGTCTAATAAGAATCCAGCCGCGCATAGCCGGTCGAGATTTGCATATGCGTTTTGTTGCCACAACTGGTGATGCCATGGGCATGAATATGCTGTCAAAGGGGACGGAAAGAGCTTTACTGACTATGCAGACTTATTTTCCAGATATGGAAATAATTTCTCTGAGTGGGAATCTTTGTACCGATAAGAAACCCGCGGCTGTCAATTGGATCGAAGGTAGAGGTAAAAGCGTGGTATGTGAGGCAATCGTACCAGCAGAAGACGTGACGTTTGTACTGAAAACTACGGTGAATAAACTTATCAAGCTTAATAACAAAAAGAACTTTACCGGCTCAGCCTTGGCCGGTAGCATAGGCGGTTTTAACGCGCATGCCGCCAATATCGTGACCGCGATTTTCATCGCTACTGGACAGGATCCCGCGCAAAACGTTAGCAGCAGTAACTGTTTAACGCTGATGGAAGCATGGGGCGAGGATGGTAAGGATCTACGCGTAACCTGCACAATGCCCAGCATAGAAGTCGGTACAGTGGGTGGTGGTACCGGTTTACCGGCACAAGGAGCGTGTCTGGCGATGCTGGGAGTCAAGGGTGCACATCCCACGGAACCTGGTGAAAACGCTAAAAGACTCGCTCGAATCGTTTGCGCTACTGTGCTTGCCGCAGAATTATCTTTAATGGCCGCGTTAGCTTCCGGAGATTTAGTCAAAAGCCATTTAAGGCATAATAGGTAAGTGATTCGAGTATATCTCATTGAATTTTTATTTATGGTGAATAATCGAATCGACGAATTGGATACAAGATTAACAAAATTTTCTCCTGATAGAAGATTATTCTTAGAATAGTTTTGATATATAAATACAATACTAAATAAAATGAATAAAAAAGTTTATTTTCAAAGGATCTTAACTTTATATAATGTTGAAAAGAAATTTGTAAATTATAATATTTATGTTTAATAATGTTTCAATGCACAAATATAATAGGAAATGGCTAGATGACAAAAATGAATTATTTAAATTATAAACAAAAATGATTATTAATTATTGTTAATAATTACATATTTGTTGGCAAATTTTATTTAAACATGTCTCTTTATATTTACAGGTCGTCCGTTCAAATTAGTAATTCAATGCATCCTACTCACAGCAGTAGTAGCAGTAATGACGGTAACAGACTAACCGTGCCAAGCACTTCGCCAGTCTCGTAAAAATTTTTGTGCATATTCCGCACAAAAATTTTAGTACGTTATACGTAGCAAACGTATATACTTTCGTAATTTCCGTATGAAATGGCCTGTTATCTGCATATCGTTTCATCTACCTGCCTCATTAGTGTTCCAAAGAAACGATTAGTCAAGTATGCATGTTTCTGCTGTATGCGATAAACTGTAGACCGAATTAT